TGTAGGAGGTTAGATCCATGTTCATTGAAGAGGATGAAGGATCCACGAATTCTCCTGGAAGTCGAAGTGTCGTTCCATAAACGAGTTGAGCCGCAGTGTATCCAATGTCAGCTTTCACTGCATTGCGGATACCTAGTAAGACGAGTGGAAGAGCGTCGGTCCACTGTGAAACGTTTGCAGCTGATAGCGAAGCTTTCAGTTGTCGGTGAAAACGTTCTACCAACCCGTTTGCTTGTGGATGGTAGGCGGTCGTTCGGAAGCGAGTGATTCCTAAAAGTGTGGTCAGACGACGGAAAAGATCAGATTCAAACTGACGTCCGCGGTCTGTAGTGATGGTTGAAGGGCAGCCAAAGTTTGCTACCCATCGTTCGACGAAGGTGCGGGCCACTGTTTCAGCAGTGATGTCCTTGATAGGTACTGCTTCTGGCCATCGAGTGAAACGTTCTACGCAGGTTAAGAGATAAGAGTATCCATTTGAATCTGGTAAAGGTCCTACCAAATCCAGATGAACATGGTCGAAACGAGCATCGGGAGTTTTAAACGAGCCTAAGGGACATTTATTGTGTCTGATAACCTTAGATTTTTGGCAGCTTACACAGGAGCGTGCCCACTCCCTCACGTCTTTATTCATTCCAGGCCAGCAAAACCTTTCTGCTATAAGCTTGATGGTTGCACGAACACCTGGATGCGAAAGTTTGTGCAATGTGTTGAAGACATTGCGTCGATAATGTTTCGGCACGATTGGGCGATCCCTACCTGTAGATGTGTCACAAAGTAAGGTTTCCTTACCTGTTCCCATCTGTTTGATGCGTAGTTTAAGTGTTGTGGACGATAACTCGTGCTGAAGATCACTGTCTTCTTTTTGAAGCTCGGCGAGTTTAAGAAGGTCGATTCCTTGGAAACTGTTCAAGGAAGTTATGCGAGATAAAGCGTCTGCAACTACATTGTTAGCTCCAGAGATGTGTTGAATATCTGAAGTAAACTGCGAAATGTAGTCCAGTTGTCGAGACTCACGTGGAGAGTACTTGTCAGAAGGAGAGCTTAACGAGAAAGTGAGCGGTTTATGGTCCGTGAAAAGAGTGGATTCACGACCTTCGATGTAGTGTTGGAAATGCCGTACAGCACAATACATAGCTAGGAGTTCCCTACCGAATGTGCTGTACCTCGATTCGGTGTCTAGCAACCTTCTAGAGAAAAAGGCCAAGGGTTGCCAGGAGTTGTTAACCCATTGTTGTAAGACTCCTCCGATTGCTGAGTCGGATGCGTCTACTGCGATGCTAATGGGTGCTCGGGTGTCCTGATGTGCGAGCATTGTTGCTTTAGCAATCAGTTCCTTAACTGTGGAGAATGCTTTTCGTGCGGTGTCGTCCAAATTAATGGATTTCGCATTTCCACGAAGTTGGTCGGTCAGAGGTTTCATAAGTAATGCGCATTTGGGTATGAAACGTCTGTAGAAACTTACCAGGCCGTTAAACGTGCGTGGTCGGTTCTGGGTAATCCAGAATGGCCTCCACTTTAGTCCTAAGAGGTCGAATGCCTTGAGCATCGATAGTGTGTCCTAGGAAGTCTAACGAGTCGGTTCCGAATTGGCATTTCTGAACGTTTACAGTTATGCCATGTTTTTGAAGTCGTTCGAAAACAAGATCCAGATGTTTGAGATGTGTTTCTCTGTCCGGACTTGCGATTAGACAGTCTTCAACATACGCGTGTACGAAGTTGAGACCTCGAAAAACGTCGTCTATGAATCTTTGGAATGTTTGAGCAGCATTCCTTAGACCGAAAGGCATTCGCAAAAATTCATAGAGTCCGAAAGGAGTTATGATAGCTGTTTTCGGTATGTCGCCAGTAGCCATAGGGATTTGGTTATACGCTTTAACCAAGTCGATTTTCGAAAAGACAGTTGTACCTTTCAAGGTAGCTGTCAAATCGTGAATGTGAGGCAACGGGTAACGATCGGGAATGGTTTTCGCGTTCAATCGCCGATAGTCACCAGTTGGACGCCAATCGTTGCTGTCCTTTTTGGGGACCATATGCAACGGAGATGCATATGGGCTACTGGACGGTCGTATGATCCCTAAGTCCATCATGTGATCGAATTCGTTTTTCGCTAACCTTAGCTTTTCAGGAGCTAGTCGTCGTGCTTTAGAGAATACAGGTGGTCCTGTAGTCGTAATGTGATGTGTAACATTGCTGGTTACACACGGTAGTTTCGGTTGAGTTTGTTGTATCCCAGGGTACTTATCGAGTAGTGGTTGATAGAGTGGGTCTATCATATGTTTAACTGTGACTGGGGATACTCTACAACCAGTAAAAGAAGTTACGCAAACGGACAAATTAGTGTTTCCGTCTACTAGCCTCCGTTTGCGCGTGTCGATGATCAGATTGTGGTGTTGTAGAAGGTCCATACCAATGATTGGCATAGAAACATCTGCAACAACGAAAATCCAGTGGATGGGTTTGCGTAAACCCACGTTAAGGTAAACGTACCTTTTGCCATACGTAGCGATCGGTTTTCCGTTTGCCGCCTGTAAGTTAAAAGCCGATTCCTGAAGCCGGTCGTTAGGATTTGCTGGGAGAGCGCTAACTTCTGCGCCAGTGTCGACGAGGTAGCGAACTCTCGTTGTCACATCTGTGACGAATAACAGACGGCTTTGTTCGCCGGCTACGGTTGCCGTTAACGCGTGCCGGCTTGGAAGTTTCCCGAATTGCTTTTCGAATCAGTCGGTTTCGTGTTGGGAAAATTGCAGGGTTTTCTGCAATTTCTGGAAAACTTTCCATACTGGTTATGATACCAGCACCAGTCGGGGTTATCTGTCTCTCGTGGTCTAGACACAGATCGCTTACGAGAAATGCTTCTACGTGGTGTGTGCGATCTCTTACGGTCGGTACGAAGACTAAGATAACGCGTGAGTGTGTGACATAACTCGGTTATATCATTCTGAGTCGTTTGAGGTTTTTCTTTGACTGAAAATACATCGGTAGTAGAAGGTTTTGTAATTTCTAAAATGCGGTCGGCAGATGCAGCTAGCTCGTCTAAGGCGTTGTTCTGAAACGAGACCAGAACTGCTTGCACCTGTTGGGGAAGTTTTGACAAGAAGAGTTGTTTGAATAGACCTTCGTCGAAAGTTCTTGGGCCTATAACCTCTCTCATCCGTTGCAACATGTCTGTCGCAGAACCACGTTGCAGGTCGATATTGTTGAAGAGTTGATCTAACCTTTGTCGATCGGTTAGGTCTCCTCGTTTAAGAATCGAGCGTTTTAAGATTTCGTAAGGATCGGAAACATCACTAGTAAACATACTAGGTGTTACGTACCTGTTGAATTCGCGCGGTAGTGCCTTGACTACTGCGAGGAATTGTGCACGTGTGTCGATCACGCCGTGCTCGGAGAAGTCGGCTTCTGCGTAGCAAAACCAGGCTTCGATGTTGTCGGGCCAGAAAGGCATCAGTTGAAACGAAGGCGGGGACAAAGTCTTAAGCTTGAGTACTTTAGGTGTCTGTTCAGTCATGATGAAGTATGAAGTACGATAATGAACAAGGGGAAAATATATATATCCAGGAAAAAACACGAAAAAAAATCACAATGTTTAAAAAAGTTAAAAAAAATAAGGCAATGATATATAAAAATCCCAAAAAGGAACAGACTCACAGTTGCAATTAGGTGTACCAGATCACGTCGGTTTCACCAATGATGATGTCACAGGTATTCAGTGTTTGACAACGCTTCTACCAGTAACACCTTCTAATATATTTCGTTCCCGCCCAGAGAAATCAAAAGACAGAGTCGAGGAGATCGGAAGAGTATATTTGGCGATGACCAATATATCGGAATTCTCTGATCTAATCTGGCTAGCGATTGCGGTTGATGTTGAGCACGGCGTTACCACACGTGATCTGGTGCGGATGCATGATCGGGCGCCTTCAGCTAGATGAGTCCACTAAAACATATGGTCATCATGCAATGTCGAAAACTTAGTGCTATATATTTTGGGGATTTATTTACCGCTACAATAGTATCACAGTCACATTATTCCAGTTTAACTATTCAAAAGACGATAATAGGCTTTGTAGTAGTAACGTGACAAACGTTTAAGCCTACATATGAGTGTTTTTTACCAGGGAAATTGCAATCACTGGTAAAATAGTCGTTCTTAGATGGTGCTCTTTACAATCGATAAGGACACTTGATCAAGCTCGATTGTAAAAATGGAAAAAATATTCCTATCAGTCAAGTAACAAAATCCTACTCGAAGAAATGCTATTAATCAGTACAATTTGCTTCAAATATGAGAAACCTCCTGGAAAATAATATTTAATAATACATGCAATGGACTACCAGTTGTCTTATATAGGATTATATAAGAAAGTCATGAATCAAAGATTATCTGGTCCCAAAGCAACCTCAAATGAGTTCAAATGATAATAAAGGAACTCTTTATAGACTGGCTTACTCGTAGGTTGTGTTTGTCAAAGATTGACATCTTTAGGAAGTCATCAACATCGAAGCAGCACTGGACAGCTTTTTCATCCTAGGTTTAGAACTCCTACGTTTCCTATAATCAACTGCGTCATTTTTTATGGCCCTAGGAGGATTTTCGAACAATTCAATAAATGCTTATGATAGCATTGCCCTAAAGAAGTTACAATTTTCGTGGCAATGTTAACTACATTAAAATCAAAGGATACACACGGTTGCTTCAACGTGCACTAGCATCAATCAAGCTGTGGCCACTTTGAAAACTTCTTATTATGGTAAACTTGATGATATTCTTAGATTGTTCATAACATGTGGTAGTAGTGACTTTGCTATTATTGTATTGGAAATGCTTTGACCTACATGAGCGAATTCAGCATAGCTCTCAGTAACGTGGTACATACATCCTAAAATTTATTTCAATCTCAGGAAACCACTGTAGGGAAGTACTGAAATTCGTGCATACCATTTGTATCGAGTAAATTTAACAACTGAGAGCAAGTCACCATGACAACAATTGGTCAAATTTTCAAAGTGGAACTTTCGTACATTTGAAACGTACTTTCGAAATACACAGATAGTTTCATTAATAAGCTATCTCATGTCTTCTCACGTAATCAGAGAAGGTCATGTTTGTTCCTATGGTAGATATTCTTTCATACCCATGAGCCAATTACAATAATGTATTAAATTTTAATCTAGATCGAGCAATAACAACAAATGACACAGTAAGTTATCAACGTTGTGAATTAAACAGCTCATCAACAAATGAAATATTAAACCAAGAGGCTATGAATCGTGAAAAACAGGAAGGTAAGGTTATTCTGGTATAATATATTCAATACGAGTTCTAATCGGAATATTTTGTAGGCTTTCCATTATTATGTAATGTATACTCAGGATAGTTCATTTGGTTGCATTTAAGTTTAAAACCACCTGATGATGTACTAATGATAGCTATAAAAATTACGGCTACTGACTTGTTCATATAGGGGCACCTACAGCTATAGCTAATATGTTAATCAAAAATTGATGATCAATAAATTTCAGAATTCAACTGATAAAGTATGGTATCTGTGGCATATTACGACTGTTGGATATATTTGATATAGGGTCGTGGTTAACACCCCAATGAACATTAAAACCCGAAGAAATATAATTACACAGTTTTCACTGACTTTCAATAGTTAATGGATAATAAAATCGCAAACAATTGGTCAGTTTTGATGGACAAGAGATGAATGACATGAAACAGCAATCACAAAACATCGAATGACTTCGACTAGGGTGAGAAATCCCTGACGTATTATATAATATAACATCAATACCTCTGTGAAAACATTTTCCAGGCTGCAAAAGACCTTTAAAGCAACATATTCTTTAAAGAATCGTTAAACAATTCGTTTTTCTTCGTCTCTCACAAATCAGACATATCCAAGATATCTGGCGAATATCAAATAGAATTTTTCAAAACGATATGGCAAGTTGGTCGAAACAGTAATACTTCGTCCGTGAACTCGAAATGATCAGACGCCCAGTCAATGAAGTAATGTACATGTTCTAGTATTTACAATCAACCCTAACAACACTTCTACAGATGTTTGTTTAAAATCCACGAGAAAAAATGGTAGGCACAAATCGAACAACACACTAGAATCGGAAGAATAATCAGAAAATAAGAAATCAAGCTGCAACCTTCATCCGTTACCTACAGTAGGGTTTTTAATTCACCATCGATGACGTTCTGACAACAATTTAAGGACTGAACTGTTACCCGATGTGTTGTCTTGACCGTTCGGCCCCAAATGTTTCATCTACAGTGACAAAATATACTGCAATATTCTCAGAAGCGTTGGGAGAAAGCTCGGAAAATTAAGTCATTAACATCAAAAGCATCGTGATTTGTTTGCGCCGCTAACTTCTCATAAAGTAATGGACAAATATGAATTTACTTTCATAGAATCCAAACTGAGGTTTAGACTGAAGAAAAACTGTCTGGGTAGTTTAGACACGCTTTTTTCCCCGTTGAAACCAAAACAAGGTGACGGGTCTAGATTGTATTAAAAATATAAATGTACGTTATTACGTAAACCAATATTTCCACCCAGTTACTAAACCAATGATTGTTCAATTAGTAAGCAAACCAATCGCAACAAACAAATTTTATTCTAGATAGTTATTCTGGATAGATCACGTACAGATTCGTTCGAATGATAATATTTGGTTGCTTTATAAAACAGAGTGTTTCCAATTCTGGAAGAGTGCTTCAATTCACAATCGAAAATGCACAATTCCAGTCAATGCAAGCAACACAATCAAAAGGGGGAACAAACTAATATGACTGCCGCCAAGACTAAGTACCAACTGAAACAACATAAATGCAGTTCATGAAGGAACATGGAATATCAGTGAAGGCGTAAGAAAAATGGAACCTATAGTAAAATACAAGTACTAACAAATCAAATGGAATAAAAAACTAACAAAATGAACAACTGAAGGAATCAATAAGAATAAATTACACGTGTATACATGGAGGGATTTTCACGCACAAAACCATCAAAATGAATCTCGCAACTCTATTCACGGTGCATTTTGAACACAGAGTATTCTTCAAGCATCAGCAAATAGGACTATTTATTGACCCTGTTGCTTTAAGTACTACTGTAGCTTGAGAGCAACTTAAGAGAAACGATGTTGACTAAACAGTTAAGTCTGTTGCAAGAAATCTCTGCATTACTGGTGTTATCGACTAAATTTCATCAAGTAGAACAATCGCCTGTTTTAGTATAGTAATGTACAGTTACACAATAGTGGTTATTAATGGTCATTAACGTGATATATTTTGCAAGATTTTAAAGGATCTGATAGAAGAATCACAAAACCAGCTAGAACATTTCACAAGCGTGATGGTTAAATAAGAAGATGATCAATATCGATGTCAACTTATAATCAGTATGTAAATCAACTAGAGACCGTTGACGTAAAAGAAATGAATATGTAAACATTGTAGTCATTTAGAAACACCAGTAATTATCTACAAATCAAACCGTTAATTCAAAGAGCCAATTCACTTCAAAATTCATCCACTCAACTTTCATGTAAATCTTGTTATAAAGCCTTAGTCTGGTTTGGGTTACAACCGTACAATGTTGATCCATCCGTAATATCGAACGCAAATGTGAAATCGTTAATGTTTAGTCATAAATTAAAGCAAGGCTTGCCCACGAAGTGGGACGAATCGCGTTGAAATGACCAGAATTGTGTACTTAAAAGGCATGTGAAGACGGTGTTAATATTGCAGTTATAGTTCAAATATTACAATGCCTGCTATAAAAACTAACATTGAGGATTACCTGGTTTACTAAGGTTTTCCATGGTGGTCTAGCTTCAATTCACTCATAATCTCAACCATTAAAATTACTATAATATCCACAAACACCCTTCTCTGACAATAAATTATTGTTGATGGAATGTGGAAAACTTCCCCACCATCTTATATAATAAATCTACAGACGAATATAAATGGGGGAAAAGTTAGTGAGAATTGATCGTGGTTATCAGTGGGACCCAGGAAGCTCATTTTCGCTCATTTGGGGTTCCTTAGCTCAATATCCCTGCATTCTGGCGTTGATATAATACATTGAGACTCAAACACAATACCCTTTGCTTTAAACACTCCACGTGTTATTCATGAGCTACTGAGTCCAGACAATCACCAGCTTATCGAACGAACATAATTCTCATATGATAGACACGACCTATATATCGAGGCGATCATCATTTGATGTGCATATAACTACAAAATCCATTCCGACTATCAACGAAAACGTAACTCAAGCTCTTTCTAATAATGATATGGAGGAGAAAATATTAGGAATATTGCAGTTTTTCTCTGGTTACTAAAAACCTTGTTCTTTTGTCAGTAGTTTCTCAGGACCAATATGATGTAGTTAGTTTTATCAGGTCTTCTGTTGATGATGATGACAATATTTAATGTCATTCTTAATAATTTATAATTGACGTTCAGTAAACGTCTACAGAACAAATAATGGATTTAAACGTATTACTAGGGGAAGATGTATTAATGCTCCGGTCTATATTTTGGTAAAAAAGGCCTAATGTAAATTTCACTTTCATGTTAATTGTAGAAGAAACAAAACTTAACTATTTACAGTGGGTAAAATAAGATATTGATTCAGAGTATAGGAGGTTTCATAGCTCCGTCAGTGGACGTCAAAACTAATGGTTTTGGTTATTTGTTTTATCTTTTCTACTATCTCAATCCTGGACGCTGCTCGAAGAGCTAAATATGTTATTAAGGCTACTTTAAATAGCCTAACTATTTATCTTAATGTAACGGCACAGAGCCAATATTAGTTCTAGATGATAACCACAGTTCAACGGTATACATGAGTAGTGTTCATCAAGAATTGCACAAAATTTTTATCAAAAGTAAAATGGTGAATTCGATTCTCAAACTTTGTAATATGTGTTTATTTACCTACGCACATTGTTTAAAAAATATAGAAGAGTGAAGTTCGGAGGACATAAGGTATAAAACTCCTTCTCCGAATGACTACCAGTTAGTTATTTCTAGTTTTCGTTTACGCAGTATCACTATACTGTTGTTTTATTTTTCTTGTTTCAATTTGTAAATTATCCTCGTGAGGACTTATAAAAAATTACATATAAACAAAATTGTTAAATCTCAACAATTATGCGTCCTTTAAGCGGTAGGTTCTCCAGACGTTAAATTTTTGGCACGTTCACTAGTAAATGACGTTACTCAAGATGCATTCAAAGCGGAACTTAGGAAAGACAATGAAATACGTCACTTAAGCAATGATCAGAATAACATTGAATTAAACTTAGCAGAAGATGAAACATATGACTCTGATGACTCTAACGCATATGTGAGAAGACGTGTGGCAGAACTTAACTTGGAATTATCGAAGGAAAAAGAATATTTTGCTGATAACTATGAAAAAAAGACAGGACGTGTCAATTTTCATCCACAACTTTTTTATTCACGGATAATAAGCCAGAATAGTTGTGAAGATTTAAATGATTTCAGCGAAGACGAAATAAACGAGTTGAAAAATTTAAGTCATAATGAAGATGATACAATGAATAAGTCAATTATGAAGGCAAATCCAAGATATTCTCAACAGCGGACGTCTGTTATACCAGGACCTGTTAATATCAGTGAGAATAACTTAGGTGGATATGAGTCTCTCATCTCAAAAGAAAGTAATGTAGAGGAGGCCGACAAAAATTTGATTGACAGTAAGTTATCTATGAAAGGTTTGAAGATTAAAAGTTCTCTCTGATGGAATTGAAGTTAAATAGACTCAGTAAGACTAAAATCAGGCTCAATTAGTTGTTTTAATCATTTGAACAAGTTGATAATACATTATATGAAGTTAAAAGTCAGTTTTAGTGGTCATATGGTCACTGCAAGCAAATATTGTGAATAGACTATCAAGTTAGGGGCTAATATTTGATGAAACCAGTAAAGCAATAGGATTTTAGTTTGTTTGTCACTTTTTGATTCAAAGTGTGTGGAATAAATCGTCCATATAGGTTACAAACTAACTCAAACAAGTAAGCTGTATGATGTGTTCTACCACAGCTTATTCCAACTAGTTCTTTACATTATGTATGAACGGTCACAGAATAGTCACTTGAAGAGCCATGCTAATTCGTAGTCACTGATATTTATTATTAACTAAATAGGGATTTGTTTTTGTTGGTCCATAGTATGATTTTAATTACTAAATAAAAGTGTCAGATAAAAAGGCTTAAATTTAACGGTGCGAGTGTGCTACTTATATTGACATAAGGAGTATATGATGTTAGTCGTGAACAGAAGTTCTGGCAGCAGAGAGACAAGAGGATCGAAGAGTAAAGAATGGAAACAAAATGCAATTTGTATGAAACTGCAAGAACAATGAAGTCTGAGTCATTTTGAGACAATCTATGGACATTTTGCAAATTAAGCATTTACTTGATGATTGTTAGATTTTATTAACAAGTCCTGTAATTTTGTGTTAAATACATTCGATTGTTCCCCACTGGTGTTTGGGTTCACTATACGAGAACCTTAATCACTTATTAAAGAATATGTGTAACTGACTACTTTTAGTCAGAACTATAATTAAGGATTTTATTTCTGCTTTTTTACAACTTATTTATAAACCCAAGTTAATTTTGAGAAGGATTTATGGGTAGCTGGAGTATTCTGATGGATAAAACAAGTTGAAACAAATATATATTGGTTTATCCGGCTTCAGCAAAATAATTTCAACTTTCACGAAATTTTTGTTGTCCAGATAAAATCTATAAATGCGAAAGAAAACTGATAAGCGTTCGCCACTCCATTCATTCTTTGGTTTAACGAATAGTTTGCTGGACTGTTTTGCTAATTGTATAGTTTGTAAGTTTAGATCCGTTTGCCTCCCATTTCACAGTATTGTTTTAAATTATATATCCTGAACACTCATATAGGAGGGTTTTCAGAGTGGCAGACAAATATCGAAGTACATCAATATGGAGCTATAATGTCATGGTAGTTTCATACTAGGACAAAACGGCCGTCCAGTGCTTCCACCTTTTCAATGGTGCTCTAACATTCATCCATTAATGGTATCAACTTAAACTCAACAATCTCCACAACCCTATACAGACATTTATAAAAGGCTGGCTTTTAAATTAAGGCAACAAAAATTTACCTGTCTAGAAGAAGAGCTGTCACTTATATTGTTTATACAAAAAACGAGCAACAAAAGCTATCTTAGCAATCAGAAAATTTGGTGAAATTTTTATATTGCACATATTTTGGTGACAAAGTTAAGAAACGGGATTACGATTTGAAATGTAGTTTGCATAACAATATATATTTTGCCTTTAAGAACCAGGGTGTTCATGTCCATATTTTGGTAAGTGTATTATTATTACGAAATCGGATGGTTTATGACAATTTTTTTCTTCTTTATACACCGAGATGATTCACTTAGTGTGTTAAAAGTAAATACATTATTTTTATACCACTATCTTGCGTGTTCCTCTAATTCATGAATATCGTATTTCGCTTTAGCCATTTATTTTTCCGCTTTCACATAAAATCATTTTTGTTGAATAATTTCTTTTAACGTCTTGTTAAGAATAACCGAACTTTAATCGCTAATACTTGCAAAGACATCCAGTAATCACCTAAACTTATTGATTTTCAGAAATTAGAACTTTGCGTCGACAAAAACCAACTTCTTGTTATATATCACTATGGGGTTGTGAAGATCATTACGTTTTTGATTGAGATCGTGAACGGATTGATGTTAGACCACCACTAAAAACCTTGATGGCAGTTTCGTCCTATTGTGGGACTCCCCAGCAGTGCACATCCACGATCCCGCTCGCGGGATTAGAACTCAGGGCCTCAGTCTCGCGCGTGAACGCTTGGACTCGAGACCACTTGGTCGGCATCCAATGGTGTTAATGTCTAACCTCAACCGACCCACGAAATTGTGCGACCATCGTCCACTGTACTGAGATAGATACCTTTCTCTACTCAACGCGGATTAGCTCAACTGGCCACGGCTTCTCAAAAGAACTCCGACAATTCCCTCACGAAGGTAGTCTCTAGTGAGCACGTGGTAATGATCATTATGGGGTTGTGGAGATTATTACGTAGTAATTTCCAGTGCTTCCAGGTTTTCAGTGGTGGTCTAACATCAATCAGTCCAAGATCTCGATCAAAATTCGTGGTATATTTTGGAAAGGCGTATTCGAATTAGTAAACGCAAGGATGCACTTGACCAATAATTGGGAGATAATGAGGTAGTCAAAATGTGCAATTAATCAGAAACTTGTAGTCCATTAGTCTAGATAAGAATAAACGGAGAAAATACATTTTCGTGAAACTGGATTCAGTTTGGATTATGCAATATGAATTTTATCATATGGCTCCTCGATATTATTTACCAGTTAACTTTATTTTTTCTTAAGTTTACATGGTTAAAATATTTTAATTTTCAACTTAGATAAACAGACGTTCAAGCAAATGATCAATAACTTGTTTTTAGATACAAATGTTACACATACAGATGAAGTAACAAGGACGAAGAAGTACCGAAAAACTCCAATCAACGAGCGAGATAACAATATTACTAAAATAATAACTAAGCATGTAAGTAATCAAAAAAATGAAAGGACATGTAATTCTCAGTTTCAGAACAATAATGATAAGCCATTAACCGAGAAAGCGAAGGAAAATTCTATCCAAGTAAGTGATAAATTACAAGGTTATTTTCATTTATCTGAAAACAGTAGTAAATTAGTAGTCTCATTCTGCTCACAACAGTCCTTTTTCGACCAAGTATCAAGGTCAAATGTGATTAGCACTTTGACGTATTTACTCTGGAGATGAGTGGAGAATTCGCAAAAACCTTGTAATCTTTAATTTAATCCTTGGTTTTTCGATTACTAACTAATAAGTAACTTAGTCTTATCTTGGTTATACATATACTAGAGTTGAAAAAGGTTAGGTGATTTATAGTTTCAAACATTTCTAAGTGGAAAACAATGCTAAAGAAAGCTTCGATTGATCTAACACTGATTAGCCGTCCGCCATAAGTCAGTTTACCGTTGATAAATTTAATGTTTCATTTCATTTTTTCGAAAATGGTATATTTAAACAAAGAAACTGTTTTCAAAATACACTACTGATTTTCTGAATTCATAAAGGTGCGGCATCGACTTAAATATCAGGAATACATGGGAGTTAAGGTGGAGGAGAGGGAAAAACACAAAAGAGAACATATTCTTAAAAAAGGTTAAATTCTGATAACAATAAATGTAGTACAATATATATTTGAAAAAATAAATAGGGAAACCCTTAAAATGAATATATTCTTACAAAAAACTCGTCTGAATTTCCATGAAAATTAGATTGCAGATAAAAAATCACGTGATCATAAATTATCAAACTGGTTAAGAGCTAAAGTTTTACAAAGAAAAAGTGAAGAGGAAATGAGACGATATGAAAATGAAGAACAACAACATCTGAATGTTGTGCATTCCAGAGAGGCATGTGAGCAGGCATTTAAACAGTAAGTTGGCACGATTGTTAGACTATTTAATTTGTGGTGAATGAATGTAATCTATAATCATTTGGATTTGTGAAGTGTTGTGTTCTATGGCCTGCTAATTATGTCACGTGTTTAGATTGCCCAGTTAAAACATGGACTCCCATGACCTTGATACTATACCAGATCAATGACGGATTAAGCAGTACGAACAGCGTATGGTCAACTCTGAGTCCAGAACACAGCTTCTACTATATGTATCGCGTATTTCAGACATATGTAGTTTAAATACAAGCAAATTAGACCGCATCATACTATGAAGTAGAAAACAGCAATTATACAAGATCTGACCAAATGTGTATGTGTGAGATACTGTAACTAATAAATTGGTAATAACTTAACAATAGTAAATCATATAATAGTAGTCAATAGGTCAAATGGAAAATATATGAACATATGTATAAAATACTTAAGTTATCCAATAAGAACATATATATGATAACAGTCCAAAAATAGTTCCCAGAAGTCACCCATAATTTAATCTTCGCTAGGATATAACATGGAGAAGCTGTAAAGTTGACTATTTCCATTAATATAGTCTACAGAAGAAAGTGAACCGTGTTAGATTAAGAAGCAACAAAGTATGCATTTAAACGAAGACCGTATCTCGTTCAGCTTGTTATCAAGGCGACATCACATTTACCATAAGTATTAGTAGTTAAAACAAAGTCAAGTGTTTGGTGTGGTATTCAGTGAAGAATTTTAAAAAGAACGAACTAAATAGAAAACAGCACTTTCCACTTATTGGTCTAATGCATATTCTGGATTATCTTGTAATTCATATTGAGTGACATATTTGGACTGCAAATTTAAAGGGTTTAAATCCTTAAAGAAGGCGAAGTATTTACATATTATGACCCCCTTTTTACTGGAAGTTTTTGAAGGTAAGGTTAACCCTTGGAAATACTCTGAATCTCACTGAAATATTCCAATTTCAATTAAAAGATACTCAATATAAAAATAATACAAAGCTATAGTACGTTAACTCATTCACCAAGTACTCTACTATGAGTTACATTTCAACTGCGAGAACCAATGATACTGCCCCCCGTGCAAAAACCGGAATAGGCAAGGGTGTTCGAGACGGACTGAAAGGTGACTGCCTTAACCACTAGGCAGCGGCTCAACGAAAGCTACATAGAATTTTGTTTAGATAGTTTAATTGTTTCCGTAAACCGTTATCACACTTCGACAATGAGGGGGTATAATTTTACTTTTTAATTCTAAAGAACAGCTTATCATAAATATTTGTGTGCTTGATTGAACGTGTGAACTCTGACAAATCTCAGAATATTATATCGAACGGGACGAAAGGTTAGGGTTCCTTCCTAATTCACACTGTAAAGGAACTATATTCATTTTACAACCTCATGTGTAGTTCAAAGGAAAGTAATGGCTCTACAAAGTAACCCTATAAGGAGTGCGCGTTTTATTGTGATATCTGTTCAGTTGAACAAAAGTTTACACAAAAAGATCTAGAAAACAGCTGAAATGCCTTTTCGCTTCATATAAATGTAGATTTCAAATCCGATCTCATTATTTAAAAACGTTTCCGTTTTAGGTTAAAAAACAATGAAGTAGTGTAACACCACGGCTGTGGCTTACACACAAAGATAATGCATTCAGCGAACCAATTGAGATATTGCTAATTCATAATCACACCAACTTAGAGTGATATTTTGTAGTGTGGGATTTTTATCATAGAGTTGAACAACATTTCAAGGATTTCACTTATAGCACAATTTCATTGACTTGGCGAACCTTCTATTTAGTTTCAGGAACCATACATTCAAGGTGATGAAACCAGTTTTAAATAGGAATCCATATTAGGTATCATTACCAAGGTTTGGTTTGATAATTTCGAATAAATAGAGCATTAGGGAGATCGTCATAAATAAATAGTATATTTGTAATATCCCAATGAATAGAAAAATTAGATTTTCTGACGTTTTGTGGCTTAGTGTAGGACACTTCTTCAGAGAACAAATAATCAAATTAATCCAAGTTTATTGTTCCGTTGTACTATTTAAACTTGGATTAATTTTAATTTGGTTCTTTATTCTCTGAAGAAGTGACTTACACTAAGCCACAAAACGTCAGAAAATCTAATTTTTCTATTCTTCGGGATATTACAAATAAACCATTTATTTATAGGAATCCACACTGTTGCACGAGATTAAATTATAGAATCCAATTTAATTTAAAAATAAAACCAATGACTTTTTTCTCTAATCAGGTGGCTGAAGAGAAAAAATCTTGAGGCGAAAGAACAAAAACGGAGGGCGAAAGAGCGGATGAAAATCACACGACAGTTAATGAGAGGTAATCATGATTGGCAACAGTTCATGAAAAACATCCGAAAATTCGACGTATTTAAGATCCTACTTTGAGCAAAAATATTTAATCCATTACGTGTTTCACAATGCATGTGCTTTCGACAAGTCGAAGCAGAAATCATTTTCACGTTCATTTTTACTCAGTACGCGTTCGAAATGTTGAAAATTAGGGTGAGAGTATTCGATGTTTTATTGTAATACAAAATATGAAGTACTTTCTTATTAATAGACTCGTCTTATTCCAATGTTTACCAAAAATGTTGAATGTAATATCTTCTATATATGTAAGCCCAGTTGACGTAGCAAGCTAAAACGATCATTCAGGGAAGCCCTATCTACTGCAATAACTTGACTGCATTGCCCTCACTATGCTAGAGTGTAACATTTATCTGACCGTCGAAACCGACTGATAGATCATCAAGTAGGATTTTACACAAATGTGTAGTTATCATATTTAACATACCAAACGTCTCAATAAGATGAAATTAACGATATAATTAGTAGAAAATGGGAATCAGATGCAGTAGAGAGCTCGAAATGGAAAACACAAAAATGAACAAATAAGGTCGAATAATCCAAAATGACCACAATCGGTGTAATGTGAGGGGATGGAAGCAAAGCTTTATATCCAAACTTAGGGTTCGCCAAAGCTGAGAATAGAAGTACCATAGGAAAGGTCAGGGACTCGAGATAGCCTTTATAACTACCATTATCCGTCCAGGCGATGGGGAGGTGAAAGCCAGATTGGAGAATATTTCAACCATACAGATTGTGATTCTGAAGAATTCAATTATCAGTTTGGGTGCTTGCCCATAGAGAAATCATTTCTAGGATCAGAGGGTGTCGGGTGACTACTGGTCAAATGAAATGGACAATCTTAGGAAGTATTACGCAGTTTATAACTAATTTTGGTCAGTATCACTACCCATCTGACGTCTCTGGCATACTTTGCTGGACAAAGACTGGTGCATTGACTTTCATATGTGATGCTGTGCAAACCATGTATGACTATGAATTGTGACAAAATCACTTTGGGTTTAACTAACAAATGTCTAGAACAAGTTAGTGTAAACCTCTTAGTGGCACTCACTCTTGCAACCATATTATACCAAACTAACCTAGATACGAAGATAGACGTTACTTCGTCGGAAAGTTTTAGAACTTACAGAAAGCGGTTAGAGAAATCCTGCGAACATGCTAGGTATAAGTTACCCCTAAAGTATTGACTCGGGCACATGGTATAAAACAAGTGTTCAAATTACAAGTACAGTACATCAGTTGACTGATCACTGCACAGTGACCAATATCAGGTTAATCTAATTTTTCAGAACTGATAAGATTTTATCGATAAAGTTGCAATACAGTCATTAGTTTGAGTGACCACACATTGCGTGTCCTGTATTGAAATGACTGGTGATTTGAGGTAATTTGAAAGAAATCCAGGATCTCCGTTTCGTGCTAGTAGGCACTAGTTATTACCTCCAATCTTGAGGGGACTGATGATCCCTTTGGGCTTCCTCCCGAATACCTTTTACCACTTAACATCTCAGCATAGTACATGCGAAGTCGACATGTTCAAACTAATGGTCGTATTGTAACTTAATCGATAGAATTCGATCAGCAGCAAAAGACTAAACCAACTTGGCATTTATCACTTCATAGTAGTCAATCAATTGTGGATATGTCTTATAGGTTGGTCCCCCTCGATCTGTTCTCAACTAATGACAGTTTCACCATACGTCTTTTGTATGAAACTCACTCGGGATAATTATGTATAATATTAAAGATTCCCATTGTGAAAATTAGAACAACACATATAAGCGAACAATTGTTTTCAATTAGATCGTCATCAGGCTTTACTCTAATATACATGAATATTTATACGAAAATTTTAAACCAATCAAGGCAATATGGGTCAATCATCACAATGAAATAGAATTAGTCACTACACATAATAGGTAAAAGTACAAGTTGATAGTAGTAGGAAGACAGGTGAACTGATAATAATCTTTGTTCACCAACGTACCACTTTTAGAGACTATTGATTTTATATGAAAGCAAATATCAAAAAAACAAATCAACATTGGCTTGCCTAACGATAGCCTAAGAGAACTGCTCCTAAGATGCACTCTGAATGTACATTTTGTCTTCAACAATACTTACTATAGACAAATAGACGGGATAGCCATGGGCTCGCCTCTAGGCCCGATTTTAGCTGACCTCTTCCTAGCAAAGCTAGAAAACGGACCTCTCAATGAGACTATTAAGAAACTGGATTTTTATTGCCAATACATTCATTATCGTAGATCAAAACACTAGTAAAGAGGAACTCCTAGACCAATTCAACAGTGTTCACCCAGCGATCACTTTCACTGGTGAAAGCGAGCATGATAAGAAGCTGAGCTTCCTTGACGTCACACTAAGCAGACGAAGTGACGGCACATTAAGTAGAAGCGTGTATAGAAGAAACCCCTCTTCATGCCAATATACTCACTTCTGCAGTTTCACACCCATCCGTTACAAGAGAAATTTGGTCAGATGTCTCACGAACAGAGCAAAAAAGATCTGTACAGTAGACACTCTAAGTCAGGAACTTGAATTTATCAACAACTCACTGACCGAGATCGGCTACCCCAGCGCGTTCATTAAGAAGTACATGCAGGATCTAATAAAGAAGTCGGAGATTTCGACTGTTCGTAAGAAACCTTTATACATGAAAGTGCAATTCAACGGGGATGTGGCTAGTGACACTCTGAAATATAGGTTAACCAAAGTAATCACCAGGACATTCTACGCAGCCAATCTTGCGTTGACCTTCTCTTGTCGACCAGCGATGTCTACTCAAACGAAGGATAAGTTACCTGAGTTGGCCTCTTCCATGTGCATTTACAAATTCAGCTGCTCCTGTGGAGATAGCTATATAGGGCGTACTACCAGGCAACTTAACCAACGAATGAGTGTTATCATTAACCTTATTTCCACATCCATTATTTGTTTGTAATTTTCCGCCTCTTGCCGTTTGTATTCTTCACTATCTGATTATTTACACACATCTTATTACGTAATGATTTTAATGTTTTGTGATTACTATTCCTAGTCTATTTACCCATGTTTGTTTGACCTTCTATTTCCAACGTTTAACTATTGATAAGAGTTTTGTTATTGTATTTTATTATTCTCACTATTATCAGTTCACCTGTCTTCCTACTACTATCAACTTGTACTTTTACCTATTATGTGTAGTGACTAATTCTATTTCATTGTGATGATTGACCCATATTGCCTTGATTGGTTTAAAATTTTCGTATAAATATTCATGTATATTAGAGTAAAGCCTGATGACGATCTAATTGAAAACAATTGTTCGCTTATATGTGTTGTTCTAATTATGTATAAGGATAGAAAAGTGTTATCTAGTTGCCCACAAATTTCATAGTGACCAGTGCTGAAATTCAATTCAATATACAATGAGTTTTAACTGTCAATCGACTGAAATTTCATGCAATAAACTTTAGGTTAGATAAGTTTCTAACTGGTGTCAATGGAAGCAGAAATCCCGTGCAGAAGACTGAAAAAATAAAGAACTTTTAATACAATTTCCATTTCTTTTTTAATACATGGGATGTACACACTTAACAGGGAGACGTAATTATCTTTTGAAACGTGTAAGAATAAGATCGATCCAACTATGACATCCTAATGGAGCAAGAAGTTTGTAAAACTCATCTAAAACATAAGAAGAAATTAGAAATACATCATGCGGATACGATAAACTAGTTTACAAAAGCTGCACAATCAACATATAATTAGCATACATACAGGTTAGATAGTGAAAGTTAATGACATCCCTGAAAGCCTAAAGATTTTCTCCACAACTATGTAACTAGGTCACATTCTATCGTTATGGCTTACTATCAAAACCTAGCAGAGAAAACGTTTCGATCTGTCAGTATGAAAAAAACTAGTTCGTCTTTTTAATGAAGATAAAAAAACTTGCAAAGATAAAGGTCTAAACAATAGATACAGTCTTTTGAATCAAAGGAACAAGACATCATTCTCGTGAAATCGTATGTGCATAATAAAAAGACAAATATAAGCAATGACTGGAAGAAAAAGACTTGAATTCCTTAGTTTGATTAAATCCTAAAACTTGGTAATATGAAATTCCTAAAATTTAAAATCCACAGAATAGATGGAATGTGGCTAACAATGGAATCAAAGACGCGCGTTTCTTCCCCCCTAATCAAATTCCACTTATTGCATAAGACACCAACTGCGCCGAGACAATCAGCGAAGGATCCACATACGGCAGCCAATACTGATCAGAATCCATCACACATGAAATTTAGATTGTATCTTCGAATAACGTGAGATGATTTTAAAAGGTGAATTTTTTCAGAGAAAGGCGTAGGTTTGTGATTGGAATTTTGTGCAAACATACATTCTAGTCTATGTATAGAATTAAAAAGTACTTTTAGTGACACAGTATGTTGTTGGTACCTTTTCAATTTGTATTTAATAAATACTGTTTGTGAATGCATCACAGACAAGCAACATGAGAGTGACGATTCTTTGACACTATCTGGAGTAAGCAACTTCTACTTGTAAGCGCTAACTAGGCGTTTCTACATGAAGTACATATGTAGCATGCAATGTTTTCTACAAGAAAAAAGTCTATGACCGTATCATTTAGTCATCGTTGATATGCAGGCCTTAATGACTAGTATGATTAAAAAAATTAAGATGCGGATGGACGACACTCTGATCAGCAATCAATCGAAAATACGTTCACATGAAAATTTTTGAACTAGTAAGCAAATAAATACACGTTACGCAGGTTTTATTGATTAGTATGTTTTTTCTAGCATATGTTAAGCTTAAACGATACGTATGATTTATTATAGGATTTATTTATGCAATTGTTTGAATAGTTACGTTTTCTCACTTAAAGCTCAGCTAGATATTTGCAACCAAGCCAAATCTAGTTGGCTCACTTTTCCTAATCATTAACTTTCAGTACAACGAAACATAATCAGTTATGTAAAAGTTGCAGATAGTAAATGTCTTCGTAATTATCTACTATGTATGATAAAAGTATAATATAATATAACAATACGCTGAATGCAATTTTTCTCGTTATCAAGTTTAATCAAGATTAACACTTTAAACAGATATCGCTAGATCGATAACCGAAATAAGTTCTATAAGCGAAATGGACGGTGTTTAGCCATGGAATCCAGGACGCGTGTTTCGTCCTATTTGGGACTCGTAAGTTAAATATATCCGCATTGCAGAGTTGATGTTCACTCCGGGACAATTCCCAAATAGGACGAAACGTGAGTCCTAGATTCCATTGCCAGTCACCATCTTATTTCCGTCTATAATGCTTGTGAATTCAGGTAAATATTGAGGCAATCCGTACATCTATCAATAAGAGACTGATCAATTGCAGTCCTAAACATCAATCGGAAGTTTCAAACAAATAATACAAAACGAGAAAAGCTCGTTTTAGTGAGAAGAGATTATAAAACTAATATTATTTAAAATGTTTAAAAAATTACCTGAACTTAAATTGCGTATCCGTCCACTAACCCAACAAATTTGCATAAATTCTGCCAATCGAATGATCATTAGTTCTAAAAGGTCAATTTGTTTATCCCCTGACGATTCATGTTTCGGTAGCGAACTAATCAAGTTACACTGTTCATGAACTTGAGTAATCATTGATTCCATATAGTAAAATTCTTTTGTATACTCCATCTTTCGCGAACATGTAAGAAGCCAAGTTGAAAATCCAGACTGTCCGGGAACTCCACTGCCATGACGGTGGGAAGCAAGACTGGCAGGTTCTGACAAACACTTATGAGTATGTAGTGAAATTAAATATTATTTTATGACAAGAGAATAATTTAACTTTGATGTACAACTAATCAAATAAATATGAAAAAGAGTTGACCAGCAAATACAATACATTCATAAGCGATACTACTATTGTGAGAATTATTGAAATCTAAAACGAATGAATTTCATGAACAGCAAATTGAAGGTTTGAAAGCCTATTAACTCGGATGAATCTGCACAATTTAGAAGAAACCACCTAATTATACGAAGTTGTAGTCGTATTTGAGTAATAAGAACGTCAGAATTTTTTTAAACACTAAACGTATCCCTATACGTTGAGAAACTGATGACATATTTAGCAAAAAAACATGATAGTTTAATAAAAAGGACATACTACGAATCACCAAATAAGATAACAAGTTATCGATGTTATTTGGAAGATCACAAAATACTTTGAACTGAGTTCCAAGAGTGTATATATATATATATATATATATATATATATATATATATATATATATATATTCCCAAAATTGTTCATAAGAAGTGAATGATCCAACTGCAACTAGAACAAGATATTGATGGACTAAACAAAGAGCCTCATGTGTCATAAGAAATGCTTTTGTTTACTTTCTTTAGCTAAGCCATTCAGGAAACCTGATGCACAAACACAAAAGGCCTACAACAACGATCTGCATTACCCTCCTGAAACTATCTAAACGAACGCCTCGTCAGTTAAGTTTCCACAGACTAGTTCTAACAATCAAGTAATAATTGATTGAAGGACGAGTGACCTACAAGCTCATTTCTCCAATTGCCTATGATATTGTATTCATATCTTGCGTAAAAGCATGTTATTTAATACAAGAAGAATCAGTCATTTGGCTAGTGGTTTTGCCTTTGATTTCTAATCATTCAGGGGGCCTAAGTCAATTATACAGTATCGCGAGTAGCCATCACTACCACACAATACCATTGGGTTCATCCATCGGTTATGACAATTTAAAATTTCATATAATCAAATTACAGAAAACATCCTTCATAATACGATGATACAGTGTGAGACGCGTTGTTTACAAAAGGTCTTGTTGTCCTTGAGAGCCGGAAAATTAAGAGTTTCGTGGGAACAGGTTCAATTATATACGAGCTACTTAACTATTCTGAAATGGTGGTTTAAAAAAGGAATTCCTGGGAATATTGCATTTTTCACGTTTTGAATAGCTCACTAAAGACCATAACCAATGCAATGTTGATATAATAAGTACCAAATATTATTTCACATTATATAAGTCTTGTTCATTTTATGAGTTTGAAAACCTTATGAAATCGAACTAACAGATAAATGGCAACGCTACTCGATTTGAATTAAGGACTGGACACTAAATCTAAGATGCAGGTATATTCGGCTAAGAATTCCTAAATAAGACAAAACGCGCGTCCTAGATTCCACTGCTAGCCACATTTTATCTGTCCTACATTAAATAGCAACATATAACCAGTTATAATGTATAACTAGAAAAAAATTTGATTTTAATTTGGTGAATAAACTACTAGGTAGGAAAAATACCTGCAGAAGTTCATAATGTAGTTCTGAAATACAGCTGGATATCAACTTGCCACTGTCATCTTGTTTCGATTTGCAAGAGTAACTGAAAGTGAATAGGATAGATTCATAGTTATTATGACAGGGAGGTGGAGTCAAAGCGTCACAAAATACACAGAAGCATTCCCGGTATATCAACATAACGGGGACTTCAATGTTGAAAGATTATTAAGGAACAAAACGTTTTGTCGATTCTTTCATGGAACCTAAAACTAAATTCTGAGGTACATTTAAATTTCCAGTCAACTAACTAGTCACCAGCAGACTAGACAACAAAAACGAAATCACAAAATCAATACGAACCCACCAAAATATTTCTGACATGGATGATAATTTTAAGTGAGTTGTGATGACTAAAGTGGTGATCTATGGATGATACGCTGTAATAGTAAAAAATGTTTGATTCAATACATAATTTGTACAGTATGGAATAATCAGCATAAGATATTTCGACAGGGTTCCATACTTAAAATCCACTGGAGAAATATTTACATATGGTTATAAAAGTCCTTACAACTACAGGTCCATATATTCATGAACAAAGATTGCTGGTTAGGTCAACTCTCATATTACTTTCATCGCAAATTACGCCCAAGATAATGTTGCAGAGCTTCTGTATTCTCCTTCGCTTACATAAACACTAATAAAACTTAAGCCACGTTCTGCCAGAGAATAATAAAATGAGAAATCTGAGTAAAGTTTGTGGCTTTTATTCGGTCGAATAGTACTTTCCAGTTATTTTAAGACTTTCCATAACCATACAAAAATGTAAAAAGATGCACCACTAAAACTACTGAGATACATACAGCGTGATCGTCAGCAAAGTTAACAAGTGTTTTAGTTGAACATGAATGATGAGAGAAAAAACGTGAAGAACAGTGTCTCGAAGTACACCAGATTCAGTTAACCAAGATGTATCATGACTTCCTTCACACATATGACTTGGCTCTCTTCCAGTAAAATAAGAATATAGTCTGTTAGTTTTTCAGCTATCATTAGCGAAGCCGGTCAACAAGAAACATCGTCCGAAAAAAACCGAAGTTGGACGGTCATTTTTATAGAACCTAGAACATATGAACATAGGTTTTAGATATCATTACCATAGTAAGATTAAATTGTCGGAGCAAGTCCCATAGCAGAAGAGGTAGTAATAGTGATAGTGGCAATTTTAAGATTAAGAATTCAAGAGACCATTCGAGAAGGGAATCAAAAATTGTTAAATAATAAAGAAAAATGTATGAGGAATTTCGAAACTAATAAATCCAAGAGAAGACAAATGATGAATGCATCCGTACCTTTACAAACGATTTTAAAACATTTTATTCAGAATCTCTAACCATCAATTACGGAAATCACTCAGACTCAAAACAGTTGGTCTAGATTTAACCACGTGGCTTAGGCCAGTATTCAATGTCTACATGGACTGATGCATTGTCTTAGTTTGACAGCCATAGATTTATTCCTACCCAATCCATTATCGCCGCACATAGACTTAGTCATAAAATGGGCATACGTAATACATGTCCTAACTACCTCAGTCGACAAACATTCATCACCTCGTCAATCGATTTGTAATCCTTACCTAATTCCTGTGCGCATAACCTCGATAATCTTAAAATGCTTCGAAGACATCTATGATCGAATACTAGTAACATACGAATATAATACCCTTTACATTTCAAGGTCTCATTTCACAGCCATAAAGCAGAACGGAACGAACTAGCGCTTATTGTATTCATCCTTTAGATGACTGACGGACTGCCTACTCCACAAGTGACGCAAGTTTGCAAAGATCAACCGAGCTTTCTGAATTCCCGCCAAGATTTAGTCAGACACCAACACATCGGGACCGATGAGTTCAACTACATCACTCCAAACCATTAGTTCAGGTGTTGATGCGGATCAGTCTTGAAACAATTTTGCCCTTAGCGGAAGAAAAATGCATCCCGAACGTGTTTGAATTGTTGGTAAAGGAGGTCAGAAAACTCAATTTTCTCAGCGTCTTCATCAAACAGAACTATGTTATCTGTGCATTCTAACTTAACAAGAGAACTTCCTAACAAATTGGGTCCTGACAGATTAGACGATGAGTGTTAAGATAGTTTTGAAATTTTGTTCACTGCCATAAGCTCTTTCATCATATTTGCCTTCGTTGTCCACAACTGCTCAGGATCATAGCGTGGAATTTAAGGCAGTCTACATTTAAGTTCCCTTTGCTCCTGATCGTGTTCCCAGACTAATGGGATAAGTTTCCAAGCATCTATCATATATGTAGACGATGCTAAAATCTAATTGTTTTTCCTAATTTCTCAGTAGTAGTCATTCGCATATATCTCTGCTCTCTTTATGACAGTCTAAATATCATCCTAAGCCATATTGTGGCGGACATCACCTCCGTAACTAACTTATTACTTTTCTGCTTGTTCCTGTAAAATATAACTGTCTTTTACATTATTAATTCGAAATCTGAGTGAGTTTTTTTTGTTGCTTTTCTGGTTCTAGTAAGAGCACGTGCTCGTGTTTGTCACAGAGTCTCTAATTACTGGCCAGAAGGTTATTTTGCAAAACTCAATCATGTAATCGGCATCTATTAACACGAACTGATAGTGTGTGTTGATTTAATCCTAAAAAAACAAGTGTTCTAGCCAGCAAGGTTTAATCTGGTTGCTACGATAGGTGCGTCCAACCACTACGTTAAGATCGGAATCGGAGCTAGAAGTATGGTCTGGAAACGTACATTCAACACACTTAATAACTTCGACAATGAACATTGCACTATGACGTAAGATAACAACATAAAAAGTATTTCTGAAATGATTGTACTTCAACTGACATGAATTATTATGGTCTTTCCACGAAGGGTGAAAAGAAGTAATGGTAGTTTTTCGATCGTTTTAAGGAAATAAACTTCTAAACTTGACATGTTTATCATCATTCAAGTCCTCTATTATTTCAATGAATTTAATTTCCTTCTACATTTTCTGCAATAAGGTCATAGAGATCTACTTAATAAAGATGTTAGTTATTACACAATATAGAACGTTAATACGCTGCACAAACAAGTTATGAATGTCGTTGTGTTCTCACATTTCAGTGAATTAAGCAACCTGAAACATTTCATAACATTAATTTCCGTAAATCAATCTGTAAAATTCTGCCTTAAAAATCAAAGAAATAGGACACGTCCCATCACTTCCTCACATACTGAAGATTAGTTTATGGCACAAACGGCTTGGCGGATTTCGCAATTCTACCATTTCATTACGGTATACTTTTCGAGTAGTTTCCCCATTCTTGAAAAATGTTTACAAGATTAAAGTTCACGAGTATATATTACAATCAGATGATAGGATTCTCAACTTTCCGGTAAATTCAAACTTAGAACTGCACCAGAGTTCTTTTACTTTGCAATCCATCTTTTCTCCTTTCAACCTTTTAGTTTACGAGCTAGTGAAGGAGATCAAATCTTATAAAAGTTATATCGTAAAGACAAAAGATATCAAAGTAGAAATTAAGTTAACAGGTAATAAAAATACTGTGTTTTTCGATGAAATATTTTTGAAGGAATCTCAGTCGGTGGTGCGAAAAGTATTTTTCAGATCTTGAGTGTTATAGCTTGGGTATCCCCCAGATATGACGTTCCTTGCCTGATAGAAAAAGGTATTCTTCCCATTCTTACCATATAATATTAGCAGAACACAAGTTAAACAATGACCAAACGGAGCCCTGATGAGAGTCTCCTACACTACCTAATAAATAAAAAAACAATTCTAGAAAAGCATTCAAACGAACTAAGAATTTGACAAGGTTCTGGTGACTGAAAGATGCCAGAAGACTGCAATTTCACGAATTGAAATAGCTACATACGACATGTGGAGAACCTCTGAAGACATTAGCAGCAAAACAAGTGAATATTTTCGACGTGGTAGTGAGAGTAAAATGTGAGTGGTCATTGAGCATGGACAAACAGGAAATTAGCCTACCGAATATTAAATTTGTGATTTTATTTCCTCCCATTGATTTCTACTCCGGACCCACTGAGTATGACTGCTAGTAACTGTTTTGAATAAAGTATTATCTAGTTTTAAACGGCTTCTCTACTCATGGTCGTAAATTGTGCATCTGATATAACATGATCTAGTCTATGCATAGCGTATTTATCGGGTATCTAGTCTAGCGATAGTATACCCTCGGTCACTAATCTTATTATCGTATTATTGTATTATCGTAGTATACCGCAGAGAAGGTGAAGAACATTTTGAACTATCCGCTATATGAAAAGTTTAGTAAAATGGGATAGTGCGGATAAAGTACAATCACAAGTTACATACATGTCGGTAACAAATATCATATTCATTCGAATGTTTTGGGAGAGGTGTCAAAGTAATATTGTTAACGATCAAAGTAGACTATTTGAATTCAAATCTATTCATACTTATTAAAATTAGACTCAAGTTGGTACTTTCTACACAAGACGGTGGTATCATCTAATTTCTCTTAAATGATTATAATAGTGCCCGATATTTCGTCTCTGAGGTAAGAACGGACAAATTTTAGACAATTTGGGTATAAGAAAGCTTTCTGAAAGTTAAAGCATATGTAAAAGCTGTTCAAAAAGTTCATGGGAGAAACCCATGAACACTACCTCGTATGACCCACTAGCTACGCACTTATGGACGATTGTAACCAACTCACTAAAATCTAGTATCTAATAATTACGATGCAATCGAAGTGAAATTTGTTGTGAGCCTTTATTTACCTGTTATTCAAAAGAACCATCTGAAGCTATAGCTGATTCAGAACGAAAATATAATTGGTTTGGTATCCTTTTTAAAGATTCACTGTAGTTATTGGTTGGGAAGCGGTGGAATAGTGTTTGGTTGAGGGGTACAACTTTCAGCCACTAAGCCCTAGATTTGAACACCGCTCCACCTTTTCGGTTTGGGCGATCGGATAGCATTACTAGACCAAACACTTAGAGCGGATCTCGAAAAGTGAGTTAATTTATCTAGTTGTTAGTTACAAGATTTCAGAGGATAAGATTATGTATCTTAATGGGAAACAAAAGAAGCACAATTTTGATAAAAATGTTGCAGTACACTACAAAAGGTAAAATCGAGAAGGCATGAAAATAAAAATAAATAAATATAATAATAAATTACCGCATTATATGTCTTAGTGGTTCAAAAATAGTCCACCACATTAGGCAAAGTGGGGGAGGTGGTTGAAACATCAAAATCTGATCAACAGAAAAGCGGGGTTGGTTGAGAAACTTAAAACGTCTAGCTGCACTTGGCCAATCTATACTGGTCCAGCTGCTGAGTGGATTAGTTCCAAGTTGATGCTGCTTCGAAATCCTCGAAAGTCTTAACCAGTTGGAGATACATAAAATAATCTGCGGAGGAGGAATTTTGGTTGCTTCGTGCGTTACAGGAAAATTGCAAACGGATGATTCTAAAGCGAAACATTTTGAGTGATAGTGTTCAAACTTTTTCACGTACCTTTTAAGGCAAATATGTTTTAATTCCCATAGCAAAATACACTAATTATTCATTTATGTCACACGACTGGTACTTTTGTATATGCTATCAGTTTATATGTCAATGAGAAGTTTATGCTTCGTGAATTTAATTTAACTTTGGATTGCAAACAACTATTAATGTTTTCCTGTAACACCGTTGTCCTTAGAAATATTTACCATCCACTACATTCGGGGCTTTAAATATTTCCATTAAATTTGTCTTAAGTGGTCACTTAAAAATTACCTGGAAATCATATGATTCCAGATAAATTCAAATTTATTATCTGAACAATCCTGTAAACTGACGTGTACTCTTTAACAATTTTCAAAAAAATATTATCATGATTCATGTGTATTCGACGACATGGCTCAGTAAATAGCTCTACAAGGTATACTGCCGGTACCAAGTCCGAATAACAGGGGAGGGTTGAGCATGGAATTAGTAACCACATCACGTAGAAAATAAACTTTTTAAAACCACTAACCAGAAAAAACAATTTAAGCTATTTAAACCCTGCTCTAGTAGTTGAGGGATTTTCGTCTAAAATTATTATGACGCCTCATGGTGAAAGCCGATATTCTTCGGAAGTCACCAAGCTAACGTCCTTTCTAACAACCAGAGCAACAATCAATATAGGTACATGAAATGTTCAGACAATGTGGTAGACCGGGAGGACAGTCAAACAACTGTCTGAATGAGACACAACTTAGCAGTGCTCATATTAATTGAAACCCATTGGAAAAAAGCTGAATGAAAGAAATTAGCCTCGGTAGAGTTGCTGTTATACTCTGGTCATGAAGAAATAAATGCTTCGCACACACAAAGAGTTGATCTAATGCTGTCCAAACAATCACGGAAAACACTTGTTAGATGGGAATCTCATGGGTCCAGAATCATCAGCAAATTCTTCATAACAAAGGAGGCAATTACTAAGAGTGTTACCTAATGCTATGCACCCACCAATGATAGCAACGACGACGATAAAGATCAGATTTATGAGATGCTGCAGTCGATCGTAGAGAAGTAACCAGAAAAGAATCTGACAATCCTGATGATAGACTTGAAAGCCAAAATCGGAATGGACAACACCGGATATGAAGATATCATGGGGCGACATGGACTGAGAGAGAGAGAGAAACGAGAACGTTGTGAGATTTACAAATCCATGTGCATTTAACAAAATGGTTATAAGCGGCACAATCTTCGCCCACAAACGCATACACAAAGCTACATGAGTCTCACCGGATCATACTACACAGAACCAGATCGATCATATTTGCATCAGCAAAAAAGTTCAGAATGTCAATGGAAGATTTGAGAACCAGGAGAGGAACTGGGATAACTTCAGATCACCACGTGGTAGTTACCAATATGGAACTGAAGCTAAAGAAGCAATGGATGACTGGAGAAACAGCGTCCCTTCGACATACTGACAATCTCAACGAATTCAAGATAACTCTCAACAACAGGTTCCAAGCCTTACAAGATCTATTGAAAGAAGGAGAAACAACTATGGAGGACAACTGGAAAAAGATCAAAGAAGCACTAACTTCAACGTGATGGGAGGTTCTGGGCCGCAAGAAGCATCATCATAAGGAATGGATTTCTACCGAAACCTTGAGCAAGATTCAAAAAAGGAGGAAGAAGAAGACAGCAATTAACAACAGTCGAACAAGAACAGAGAAAGTCAAGGCACGAACTGAATACACAGAAGCAAATAAGGAAGTGAAGAGGAGCATTAGGGTCGACAAGCGGAAATACGTGAAATATCTATCAGCGACAAGAGAGGGAAATATGAGACAGCTATATGATGCAACGAAGAAACTGGCAGGGAAATATAGTAAACCATAGAGACTAGTCAAGGACAAAGGCATTCCGACCATTGAGATTCAAGAACAAAAGAGCAGATGGGTATAGCACTTTGAAGAACTCTTGAATAGATCAGCCAAACTGGATCCACCAGACATCAAAGCGGTAACTACGGATCATCGTTGAACAATCAAATGAATGAAACTCGTCACTATACACCAACTTCCTTGACTATGAGAAAGCATTTGACAGAGTGGATAGGAGAACATTATGGAAACTTCATCGACACTATGGTGTACTCGAAAAGATCGACAATATCACCCGGAATTCATACGATTGACTACAGTGCAAAGTGGTGCATGGAGGACGGTGAGGACCGGAGTCAGACAAGGCTGCTCACTTTTCTTTTTCTTCTGGTGGTTGACTGGGTTATGAAGACCTCGACATCTGAGGGGATGCGCGGAACAAAATGGATAGCTTGGATGCAACTGGATGATTTGAACTTCGCAGATGACCTAGCTCTTTTATTCCATATACAAGAACAAATATAGATGAAAACAACTAGTGTAGCAGCAGTCTCTGCATCACTAGGCCTCAACATACATAAGGGAAAAAGCAAGATCCTGAAATACAACACGGAGTACAACAAAACAATCACACTTGATGGAGAAACTCTGGAAGAGGTGAGAACTTCCACGTACCTGAGAAGCATCATCGATGAACAAGGAGGATCGAATGCAGATGTAAAGGCAAGGATTGGCAAAGCAAGAGCCGCATTCCTACAATTGAGGAACACTTAGAACTCGAAACAACTGTCAACCAATATCAAAGTGAGAATCCCCAAGACGAACGTCATGACAGTTCTACTGTACGAGCTGGAACTTGGAGAACTACTACAAACATCATTAAAAATGTACAAGTATTTATAAACAATTGTTTACGCAAGACACTCAATGTGCATTGGTTGGATGCCATCAGCAACAGTTTACTATGTGAAAGAACAAACCAACTTCCAACTGAAGGGGAAATCAGGAAAAGATGTTGTGTGTGGATAGGACATACATTAAGTGGACCATAGAACTGCATCACGAGGCAAGCCTCAACTTGGGATCCTGAACGGAAACGGAAACGTGTAAGATTGAAGTACACTCTACGTCGAGAATTGGAAGCAGACATTAGAGGAGTGAATAGCAACTGGAAAGGATTGACCAGGACAGAGCTCGATGGAGAATGCTGGTGGGAGGCCTATGCTCCTCCAAGAGTAGTAACAGGAGTAAGTAAGTAGAACTCGAGCACTGATATACAAGTAGTAGCCCCCAGTAATCTTATGCACACTTCTAGTACACTATGCAGGGACAGAAACTGCTAAATGATGTCCCGACTGACGAAGTCGAATGTTGCGATTAGATGAAAGAGTATTATCGCAGTCGGCCTTCCTTTTAAATTCCAGAACCTAATGATGCATATTTGGCTAATACATCAAGAGTTATGTCTCAGAAAATCTTTGTTCCTGAGGGTATTCAAAAGAACTTTCCCATATTTCATAATAATTAACAAATTATTTTGAAATTTCACCATTATTTAGCTTCAATGAACTACCATATCACTATCTGATAGTTAAAAAGTGCGATAAAGCCATTTAGTACATTTAGAAAAACAACTCCTTTTCCTGGTTTTTATTTCAACCATATTTTAACGTGTTCCTTTTTATGAGTTTACGGTAAATTCTAACTAGGCACACGAAAAATTATATTAAACTTGACTAATTACAACAGGGTCCCCACGCGATTTTAGAATATTAAAGATTCCCATTGTGAAAATTAGAACAACACATTTAAGCTAACAATTGTTTTCAATTAGATCGTCATCAGGCTTTACTCTAATATACATGAATATTTATACGAAAATTTTAAACCAATCAAGGCAATATGGGTCAATAATCACAATGAAATAGAATGTCTCTACACATAATAGGTAAAAGTACAAGTTGATAGTAGTAGGAAGACAGGTGAACTGATAATAGTGAGAATAGTAAAATACAATAACAAAACTCTTAGATAAATCGAAATCATTTCAAGTTATCTATCGTATACCTCCATCATTTCCCGACGGAGTCCGTTCCCGCCTTCTACATATAGCTGAAGCCATTGGAATTCGTACATATAACCCCAATTTATGTGTACAGAAGAAATACGTAACCCCCCTATCCCTTCCATGGCCAGTTATAACTTAACTAACAATATTTTTTTAAAATTTTATTATTATCATTATTTATTTTATTCTATTTTGTTATCATTAACCTTATTTCCACATCCATTATTTGTTTGTAATTTTCCGCCTCTTGCCGTTTGTATTCTTCACTATCTGATTATTTACACACATCTTATTACGTAATGATTTTAATGTTTTGTGATTACTATTCCTAGTCTATTTACCCATGTTTGTTTGACCTTCTATTTCCAACGTTTAACTATTGATAAGAGTTTTGTTATTGTATTTTATTATTCTCACTATTATCAGTTCACCTGTCTTCCTACTACTATCAACTTGTACTTTTACCTATTATGTGTAGTGACTAATTCTATTTCATTGTGATGATTGACCCATATTGCCTTGATTGGTTTAAAATTTTCGTATAAATATTCATGTATATTAGAGTAAAGCCTGATGACGATCTAATTGAAAACAATTGTTCGCTTATATGTGTTGACTAATTACGTTGAAAATAATCCTACGCATCAGTTTTTGTACCATCATGAACAATAGCCACTAGGAGGTATACTGCATAACAACCCTAGCTTGGACGTATCAGTGACAAAGCTAAATAAGTCTTCACAAATCAACAATATGAGAAACCGAACGTTATGAAAAATAAAGGTATTATCTAGAGAATTACTCTCATTTAGGCAGTATACTTCAAGAAACTAAGTTTATTAACAATATAAAGAGAAAACAGTAAACTTAACTTTAAAAGCTTACTTACTTAGGGAAGGATAGAACCCATAAACCAAAGTAACTCCAGACAAAAATGCGTCTGCGAATACAGGTGATACTGATGGGATAGTGTATAATGGGTTGTCTTTGTTTGGATCTCCACTCTGGATAATATCGTTTTTCGACAATGTTGGATTCGAAGTTAATGGAGATGCCTGTATACTGAGCATATCGGATGTAAGCGCTGTAACAAACTCCTCAATAATTTCATACGAAATGTAAGGTAAATAATTAGCTGACTGTAGTGCTGAGGATGCATAAAGTTGGCAAACTCGGACCTTATAATAAAAAAAAGTATTACTCATCTTTGAGTATTAGAAATGTTGGTCAAATTGGAAAAAAAACCAAGACGAACTATGGAACACATTTAAATTCTTGTATAATCGATTAAATGATAAAAAATTCATTTAAACTACTAACTTGACTTTTTAGGTATACGCAAACCATACGCAGCAAAATCAATTCCTATAACTGGGAAGGTTGGTCGCAGGTCAAATAACGTGGACCGTCTACTGCAACTGTGCACAGACCACAACCTGATTCTGGCTAGCACTAACTTCCGACACAGTCATAGCCGTTGTGCCACCTGGCGTCCTCCCTCTGCATCTCAAACCTGGACTCAGATTGATCACATCGCGATCAGCTACCGTTGACGTGGTTGTGTACAAGACTGCCGCTCCTTTTGGAGTGCCTATCTGGACTCTGAACATGCCCTTGTTTGCACTAATCTCACCTTACGTTGCATTGGTCAACAAACTCATCATCCCGAATAGATCGATGTCAGTAAATTGGTTGCAGCTTCTGGTGCAACTAAATATCAAACCGAGCTGGGTTCAAGGTTAGATACCATCCTACCGAAGAGTATAGATGAGCATTGACTGCATTTGCATGGCGCCATGAAGGTTGAGAGTACATTTGCTTGCGGTTTCGCGGAACGTCCCGCTTATAAGCACTTGGTTTCTACAGGCCGCTTACAACTCATTGGAGCCCGTCGATCTACTCCGAGTGATCGTGAGTTTGACCACAAACGAAGACTTTTACTTAACGAAATTGGGTAAAGCTTACGTAAGGACCGAGAAGCCTGATGATCGGAGCGTACCAATGTGTTGGAAGCAGCAGCTGCATCTGGTAACTGCCGGAAGTCCTCTCAACTCACCAGTCACTGGCAGCAAGAAGTCTGGTGTGAGAGAAACGATCTGTGAAGATAACGGGATGCCATTCACTAACATCTATCGACATCTCGGACGATGGGCAGAGTTTTCTGAGGAGCAGTCCAAACGATCTGCTGTCCCGGCAACATCGATCAGACTGTCCTACACTCCATGGCCTGTGACGATTGATCCACCAAATGAGGCGGAAGTTCACAAAGAACTTCAACCTTTGAAGCGCTACAAATCTCCGGGCCCAGATGACTTACCTCCGGCTCCTTTTAAAGATGGTGGTGACTTTCTGACTAAGGAATTGACGACGTTGTTTACAAATGTTTGGGAGTTAGAGAGTGTTTCAACATCATGGAATCAGTCGATAGTTGTTCTTATCTTTAAAAAGGGTTTATATTGTTATTGTAACAACAATCGGGGGATAAGTCTACTTCCGATTGCGTCCAAACAATTGGTTTCTATCATACTTCGTAGATTGTTCAAAACCCGAGAAAAGTGAACTCGCGAGGAGCAGGCTGGGTTTCGTTCTGGTCGAGGATGTATTGATCATATCTTCACCCTCCGACAAATGTTAGAACACCGCCATACTTATCAAAGGCCAACAATCTTAGTGTTTCTTGGCATCAGGGCTGCCTTCGATTCGTTGGACAGGACTGTCCTCTGGGATTCTGTTGAAGAAGGGTGTGCCTGAGAAGTTTATTACCATCCTAAAAGCCCTATATACAAACACCTCAGGCAGAGTGAGGGCATACAACCACCTTTCTCCATTGTTTCATTCGAGCAGTGGGGTTAGGCAGGGTTGCCCAATCTCACCATTCCTCTTCAACTTTGCTATCGATGACATTCTGAAAACAACTCTGATGGATGTAAGTAATGGTGGTGTGGATCTGTTGCCTGGAGAAAGACTTCTCGACCTTGAGTATGCGCATGATATTGTTTTACTGTGCGATAATGCCCAAGACATGCAATCCGCACTTAATTGGTTGGCAATCAGTGTCCGTAAGTATGGTATGTGCTTTGCACCTTCGAATTGCAAAGTACTTCTACAAGACTGGCAGGATTCCAATCCTGTACTCACCCTGGATGGTGAGCAGATAGAAGTAGTCGAGAAGTTCGTGTATCTAGGTAGCTGCATAAGTGCTAGTGGTAGCTTGAGTGATGAGATCAATGCACGTATAGTGAAAGCCAGGGCGGCTTATGCCAATCTGGGCCACCTTTGGCGCCTCCGTGATGTTAGTCTGGCTGTGAAAGGTCGGATCTACAACGCGTCGGTGAGAGCAGTTTTGCTCTATGCTCGTGAAACCTGGTCTCTCCGAGTTGAGGACGTTAGAAAACTCTCTGTGTTCGATCATCGCTGTCTCCGAAGGATTGCTGACATCCAGTGGCAACACCATGTTAGTAATGCAGAGGTTCGGCATCGTGTGTTCGGGCACAGAGATGATAATTCAATTGGTGTCACCATCTTGAAACACCGACTTCGGTGGCTTGGACATGTTCTCCGAATGTCGTCCCAGAGAATTCCATGTCGTGCATTATTTGCCGACTCTGGGACTGGTTGGGAGAAGCGGCGAGGTGGTCAGTGTATGATACGGTGTCGTGGTACGAAAGAAAGCTGTACAGGACTGGCTTCTGTCGGTCCTTCACGACTCCCTGGTTAGGGTCTGAGAGATGGTGCGACTCAGTGGCTAGAGACGTTATCATATATGGCTCAGAATAGAAGCCAGTGGAGATCCTGATGAATTTTTTACTTTCTTCATAAAAAGTGGTTGTGTCTCCCTTACCTAAAAGATTTCTTCTGATTGTACCTCTCCATTCCCTCATTTCCATCAACCTCCAAGAAACCAGACGAACGAGTTGTTACTTTTAGGAATATACCGATTCTACAGCTGAGTGAAGTGGTACTAACCTTGATGATTATGACTCGTAATGTTTCACTTAGATGCCCTGATTGGACCCCCGACCGTTGTTGCTACCTTGACGTGGTGGTCGGGCTTGCCTATCGTGATGAAGCAACCGAGCTATACTGGCTGGAACAACCGTTCCTCAAGGTCCTACCATGTCAGACAGGTCGGTTGAAGAGCGGTAAGACTAAAAGCAACAAACCCAAGGTCCGAAAACGAAGTCGTACTGCTGACTACTGAGGTGTGATAGCAGTAAGGTGTTTCCTTCAGACAACCAGCATGACAGCGATGCTGCCTTCCCACAAGGATGGGTGGGGTTAGAAAAGGTCGACCCTAAAAATGCACACCTCAACCTACCTCACGGATTTCCGTCTCCGGCGGTAAGGCCCTTTGAAGAACGGAGCTAACACGTCAAAAACCTCCAACGAAAAGGCCGCGCGCGATCGGCCTCAAGCAGATGTCCCTTGAGCACTGCGGTCACGCTCTCAGGTCACTGAGACCACCTCTAATCCAATTTCCTTTTCAGGTACCTCCAGAAGGACCCTTCCACGGTGTGGGCAACCGGACATTCTCAAGGTCTTTTTAGCGTCGCTCAAAGGTCGTCCATAAATTATAGTTTCACTTATTTGTTTTATTAATCATTCTTTACGATTATTCATAGGTCTCTTTGTTCTTGTACCTGTGGAGTTTCTGTCCCATTGATGATATGCTGACGAATTACAGTAATGGATGTTTATTAGCCCATTTTTCTTGAACTCAGTTTACAAACACCAACTTTGTGCCTATTTGATTAATTCATGTAAATCAACTTAGACATCAAGCTCATAAGATTATTATTCTCCAAGCTTTTACATCTGTAAATAAGAGCACCGACTATTTACAAGGTCTTGGTGATTAATTGACATGAAGTATAAATAATAGGGAACACGGGGATAAAACCTAGCTACAATTTACTTTCTACACACTCCAACCCAGCATCCTATTTACTATCAACCCACTGTTTTCGGTTGCAAGGAAAATTTCTGACTCCATAGTTTACTGTGTCTGTCGTTCTGGAGTTGGAAGACTTCTTGAGTGAGATAACTTTTCTAATGACTCGTTGAAATTCGTCAGTACATTGATAGGTAGACCCTGCTGTCCAGTTTTAACAGTAAGTTAGTGAGTCAGGAATGCCTTTTACGAAATCCGTTTTGCTCCGAAGTCAACAGACTATGACCATCTTTGACTAAACATATTATCCCTAACCATTCTTCCTAATAATTTTTCCTTTATATTAGTTTGACTGATTAGTATTTAGATATGAGCTATTCCCATCCTAGAAATACGGTCTTTCACGGTGTGGGCAACCGGGAAGTGATAACCGCCCTCATACCTCTAAACAGCACTCAAGACCACTGTATTCATAATCAACCTCCCTCTTCAATTCTTATTATTTCCCCTAAATCAACTTTCAACTCTAAATTTCCTCTTTTTTCTTCCTCCTCAAGTGTCACCATAGCCAACGATTCCAGTGCGCAAAACACTGTCCCAGGTCTACTGAAACCTCGCTCAACGTACGCACCCTGTGTCAAATCGGTCAACAGGCTTCCCTGGCTAGAACCCTTGAATCTCGTACAATTGATGTATACTGTGTCTCTGAAACACACATACACGATCCCAGTGTGGTCTTTCACTTGACCTCACCTCGGCAAAACGGAGAGTCAACGAGATACACCCTCCGTGTATCTGGTGACCCGACGACCAGCTCTCGTAGATTGGCAGGAGTAGGCATAGCACTAAGCATGAGGGCGGAACAAGCACTGTCAGAGTGGATCCCCGTTAACAATCGTTTATGTGCTGTTCGGTTAAACGGCTCCGTAAGAACTCGGAAGGATAGGGACACACGTCGTTGTCGTTTTGTCGTTTCTGCCTACGCTCCCACCGACTGCAGCTCAGATGATGTGAAAGATGAATTTTACAGAAAGCTATCTGGACTGCTTCAGAAAGCTGATCATTCAGACACAGTACTCGTAGCAGGTGACTTTAATGCCCATGTAGGTAGCTTAAACCGAACAGAAAGATATTTAGGTGGATATTTTAGCATTCCGGCACAGCGAACAGATAATGGCGACCGTCTGATGCAACTGTGTTCAGACAATCGTTTGTTTTTAGCAAACAAAAATTTTAAGCATAAGGAGAGACATCGTCTAACATGGCGACCCCTTACACCAAACCAACGATGGACTCAAATAGACTAAATTGCCACCAGTCATCGTTGGAGAGGGTCGGTAGAAGATTGTCGCTCATTCCGGAGTACCTGCTTGGACTCCGACCACGCTCTAATACGGGTACGCATCTGCCTCCGCCTCACTGGACGCAAAAAATCCTAAGGAAAAAGACCCATTAAAACCGAACTGAGTAGCGAGAAAACCAAAAGTAGGTTCCAGGAACAACTGAGGTCACGATTAGGTAGTTCTGAAAACAAGGCTGACCCAGATGTTGCTTGGAAAGCCATACAAACAGCTGTGGAAACAGCAGTGACATCTATCAGTGATTTAAACCACAGGGTTACAAAGAACCAATGGATTTCTTCAAAGTCTATCACACTGATGGATTCTCGTAAACTCATCCCATCAGGCTCTGAACACGATGAAGAGCGACAACAAATCAGATCTAGGTTAACCAAAAGTCTAAGAAACGACCGTGAACAGTGGTGGGCAACGAAAGCAAACGAGATGGAAAAGGCGGCGACTATAGGGAACACAAGACAGCTCTACAGACTAATAAAAGAAACTGGAATTAATAAGTCAAGTGTAAGTCAGACTATTTCGGAAAAAGACGACACCTTCATCTGCTCTCAGTCCAGACGTTTAGAACGATGGGCGGAACATTTCAGAGAACAGTTCAACTGGCCTTCAGCTACTCTACAACTACCCTCCATTCCCAGACAGTGTGAATGGAACATTGAAGTAGGTCCCCCAACTCTAGCAAAAGTTCAAAAGGCTATAGTTAATCTGAAGCGAGGAAGGGCAGCTGGTCCAGATGGACTGGCTCCAGAGGTCTTTAAGGATAGTGGTTTAATTTTAGCGATTAGGTTGACTAATATTTTAGCTAAGATCTGGGAGTTATACGTTATTCCATCTGACTGGTCACAATCACTTATCGTCCCAATATATAAGAGAGCGATATATCCGTTTATCAATAAAAGGTCGAGTGTACTGCGCGGCAGTCCGTTCTGTTTTAATTAAAGGCTGCGAAACTTGGTCATTGAGAGTAGAAGACACTCGTAGGTTACTAGTATTTGATCACAGATGTCTTAGGAATATTGTCAGCATCTGCTGGGATCACCGGGTAATTAATAATGAGGTTAGACGCAGGGTATTAGAGAATGATGGTAAATCAGTTGACGAGGTTGTGAATCTTCATCGACTGAGATGGTTGGGCCACGTGTTGCGTATGCCTGAACACCGACTACCACGACGTGCAATGCTAACCAGTGTTGGAGATGGTTGGAAGAAAGTTAGGGGCGACCAAACTAAAACGTGGCATCAGTGCTTGAAGTCACTAACTTCTAGTCTGAGCCATGTTGGTAGATGCAGATTACTTGGTTGGAGTCCGCGTGACTTTCGTAACCAATGGTTGGAGACTCTTGGTGACATGGCTCAGAATAGATCACAATGGCGTCGGTGTATACACTCCCTGTCTTCCCTTAAACTAAGAGATTAAAATCACTTCATATTTTTCTTTCTACGAACCAATTTTTTCTTCTTGTACTATATCTCTATATGCAATCTTTCTCTTATATATTACCCCCTTTGACCTAACCACTGCTATGAATCCGGTGTTCATCTTGTTGTGCTGATGCGGTATGGCAACCTGGACCGATGCACATATGTGCCTGGTCCTACGTTGTAGCTGACTGACTGACCTGATTGGACCAACTTTCGTGAAATGGAAAGTAGTTAATAGGTCTAAGTACTACATTAGCACGTCAATTTTAATTTATTTAAAAACCTTAGATTCGATGAGAAAATTTTGGTGAGAAGTTACGCAATGGAAAGTGCCTCTGAAAATAATATTTTTGAATTTCAATACAAGATCCTAATAAGATAAAACAGCTACACAAACATTGTTTCTGGACATTAACTCTACCAAACAACATCAGTATGTTATAAAACAATACTAATTTGTGTATTCGAGCTGCTAAAGAGTTACAAAGTTTGTGAGTAAATCCATAAAAATATATCTTCACAACATTCAAAAATTGAAATTTCGCTAACCTTTAGCCACAAAGAAACAATTTCGAGTACCGGGGATAGCCCAAGACAAATAGCTAACGATGATAATTTTATTAGGAAGTACAAACAGTCAGTGCTAATATCCTTATCAGCAGGAAAGACTTCGAAGAACAAGCGATACTTCACATCCTCTTCGTTTTTCAGCATTATGTACGTAGCTATGGTATCCAAAATTTCGACTTCCTCTAGTGGACTTGGTTTCTAAAGTTTGAGTGAATTTAGATCTATTGAGACAATATTTCTCACCTTTCCATCAATTGTAAGTACGCTGTTAGCAGAAAATTTCAAAGTTTCTGAATTAGTATGTTCGTCTCTAAGGTATGACTCCAAGGTAACAAGAGACTTTTTGCATGCTTCAGAAGCTGACATTTTACGATCGAAAATTAACGTATTCGGATTACTCGTTAATAAATTTGTTAAACTTCTGTATTTATTAAAGAAATGATAATTGTAGTAACTACTATAGGATATTTATAGCCTTTTTTCACATAAATACTGAAGTAAACTCTAGCCCTTTATTGCTGTCTAGAGCAAATAAAATATGCTTGATTTTTCTCAGTGTATTAAAGTCATCAGTGATGTGGCACTTGTAGTCTGAGGGTGCTCTTACCTCAATGATGAACGATAGCACAAGAAAACAAAGGTGTAGTTCATAGGTATTTGTTCAGCAAATTAAGTATGTGATCTTGTGGTCAGAGATGCAGTCTGAAATAAAAATATGATAACAAGCAGGATACAAACACCAAAAAAGTTGTTCAGAACTACTTCAGTAATGACATTCAGAAGTTGACAAGTTGTGGTCTAGAGTAGATATACGTATTGCTGGCAATTGTAAAAAATCGTATGGAGACCTAGAAGGAAATAAGTAAGTGACTCAACAACTCAGTAAGTGAACACGATTTATTTAGTTTGTCAAACTGGACAAATGTCATAAGAACAAAAAACACACTGAATAACAAATGAACGAAAACTGCTTTAAATCAATATGGGGTTTAACGGCTGATTTCTTTAATGTACACTGTGTTTGAGAATTTACCCTTATCAACGGAAAAACGCCTTTATCGGGTTAAAAACCCAACTAAATGATTAGGGGAAAAACCAAAGTATATTGAACGTTCTCCGATGAACACACAGACATCCTGACTGAATCCTACGCCGATGTATACAGCCAAAAAAGCGAAATGTTTGAGCTAAGTTTTTTAATGAAACTGGATGTAATTATTATTACAAAAATATGGCTCGACTGATGTTGATCCTACCCAAAACACCACAGAGTTAATGTGTTAGAACTAGTAAGATCATTAGTCGTAAGGGTGAGATCATGGTCTTGAACATTCGACAACATTTACGCGTTAAATGAGAGCCACATGTGAGTGGTAGTAGGTTCGAAAATCAAGTGACTGTTGAAGTAATGTACCATATCTTTAACAACCTGATCAATGGTCTCGCTTTGAGTCACGTTTTTATATGAGGTAAGACTAATAGCTGTATTAGTGGTGGGAATTCTGATGCGCCACGCATAAACCAGACATAGCTGACAACTGCGTTTTGATAGTAAATTGTCGTTGACCGACCTACAATAAATCCTAGTACAATGTATCAAGAAAGCGACACGTTTTGACTTAGAACATAACCATCATTATTCAACATTCCTTGTACACAAGACAGTGAAGATTTTGCAGATATTTAACTTCACTCTAGTAGATAAATAGTGATCATACTGTACTGTACTTTCGGTTTAGGACAGACGATTTCGAATGTCGTTTTGCTTTGTCCAAATAAATAGTGAACAGACAGACCCTTTATCAGAAAAAGTGTTTTCTCAACGGACTGATCAGTTTATATAGATCATCGCATTGAAGAAGTATGGGATAAGTGTAAGGTCGTGTTTATAAGAGCCTAACTCATTCATTCATCGTCAACTCTACGTACAATATCATATTTTCCTTCATGGATAGATAAGCTAGTTCAAAAGAAACTAAAACGTAGGAAATACTTACTGGACTCGTTCTTTACAAGTGGTCATGAAACATTCAGGCCTAGGTATTGTCAAGTTCGGAATACGAAATCTCTTTAACGCGAAACTGAAACCTAACAAAAGCAATTGTTTTAGTACACTGAGAGGACTGAACAGAATCCCAACGACATTGATGGATGAAAAATCTGTTATATCAGTTAACGGCAAAACTAGCTGCTTACCAATACATGATTGAGGTTAACAATTTGGATACTAATATGAGCACATTATTTGGTCATATCTTTGACAGACCGAATATCTATCCAGTCTTTATCATGAATGAAATCATATTCCATTGGCTCAATAACGTAAAAACTGGTAAACCTCATTAGCACAACAAGATGAACATCAAATTCATAATAGGTACTTTGATTATAATAATATATATAAGAGTAAAATTGTGTATGACGATATATTACAGGAAGAAGGAATTTAATCGTAAAAAGAAAGATATTAAGTGATTTTAATCTCTTAGTTTAAGGGAAGACAAGGAGTGTATACACCTATACCACTATGATCAATTCTGAGTCATGTCACCAAGAGTCTCCAACCATTGGTTACGAAAGTCACGCGGACTCCAACCAAGTAATCTGCATCTACCAACATGGCTCAGACTAGAAGTTAGTGACTTCAAGCACTGATGCCACGTTTTAGTTTGGTCGCCCCTAACTTTCTTCCAACCATCTCCAACACTGGTTAGCATTGCACGTCGTGGTAGTCGGTGTTCAGGCATACGCAACACGTGGCCCAACCATCTCAGTCGATGAAGATTCACAACCTCGTCAACTGATTTACCATCATTCTCTAATACCCTGCGTCTAACCTCATTATTAATTACCCGGTGATCCCAGCAGATGCTGACAATATTCCTAAGACATCTGTGATCAAATACTAGTAACCTACGAGTGTCTTCTACTCTCAATGACCAAGTTTCGCAGCCTTTAATTAAAACAGAACGGACTGCCGCGCAGTACACTCGACCTTTTATTGATAAACGGATATATCGCTCTCTTATATATTGGGACGATAAGTGATTGTGACCAGTCAGATGGAATAACGTATAACTCCCAGATCTTAGCTAAAATATTAGTCAACCTAATCGCTAAAATTAAACCACTATCCTTAAAGACCTCTGGAGCCAGTCCATCTGGACCAGCTGCCCTTCCTCGCTTCAGATTAACTATAGCCTTTTGAACTTTTGCTAGAGTTGGGGGACCTACTTCAATGTTCCATTCACACTGTCTGGGAATGGAGGGTAGTTGTAGAGTAGCTGAAGGCCAGTTGAACTGTTCTCTGAAATGTTCCGCCCATCGTTCTAAACGTCTGGACTGAGAGCAGATGAAGGTGTCGTCTTTTTCCGAAATAGTCTGACTTACACTTGACTTATTAATTCCAGTTTCTTTTATTAGTCTGTAGAGCTGTCTTGTGTTCCCTATAGTCGCCGCCTTTTCCATCTCGTTTGCTTTCGTTGCCCACCACTGTTCACGGTCGTTTCTTAGACTTTTGGTTAACCTAGATCTGATTTGTTGTCGCTCTTCATCGTGTTCAGAGCCTGATGGGATGAGTTTACGAGAATCCATCAGTGTGATAGACTTTGAAGAAATCCATTGGTTCTTTGTAACCCTGTGGTTTAAATCACTGATAGATGTCACTGCTGTTTCCACAGCTGTTTGTATGGCTTTCCAAGCAACATCTGGGTCAGCCTTGTTTTCAGAACTACCTAATCGTGACCTCAGTTGTTCCTGGAACCTACTTTTGGTTTTCTCGCTACTCAGTTCGGTTTTAATGGGTCTTTTTCCTTAGGATTTTTTGCGTCCAGTGAGGCGGAGGCAGATGCGTACCCGTATTAGAGCGTGGTCGGAGTCCAAGCAGGTACTCCGGAATGAGCGACAATCTTCTACCGACCCTCTCCAACGATGACTGGTGGCAATTTAGTCTATTTGAGTCCATCGTTGGTTTGGTGTAAGGGGTCGCCATGTTAGACGATGTCTCTCCTTATGCTTAAAATTTTTGTTTGCTAAAAACAAACGATTGTCTGAACACAGTTGCATCAGACGGTCGCCATTATCTGTTCGCTGTGCCGGAATGCTAAAATATCCACCTAAATATCTTTCTGTTCGGTTTAAGCTACCTACATGGGCATTAAAGTCACCTGCTACGAGTACTGTGTCTGAATGATCAGCTTTCTGAAGCAGTCCAGATAGCTTTCTGTAAAATTCATCTTTCACATCATCTGAGCTGCAGTCGGTGGGAGCGTAGGCAGAAACGACAAAACGACAACGACGTGTGTCCCTATCCTTCCGAGTTCTTACGGAGCCGTTTAACCGAACAGCACATAAACGATTGTTAACGGGGATCCACTCTGACAGTGCTTGTTCCGCCCTCATGCTTAGTGCTATGCCTACTCCTGCCAATCTACGAGAGCTGGTCGTCGGGTCACCAGATACACGGAGGGTGTATCTCGTTGACTCTCCGTTTTGCCGAGGTGAGGTCAAGTGAAAGACCACACTGGGATCGTGTATGTGTGTTTCAGAGACACAGTATACATCAATTGTACGAGATTCAAGGGTTCTAGCCAGGGAAGCCTGTTGACCGATTTGACACAGGGTGCGTACGTTGAGCGAGGTTTCAGTAGACCTGGGACAGTGTTTTGCGCACTGGAATCGTTGGCTATGGTGACACTTGAGGAGGAAGAAAAAAGAGGAAATTTAGAGTTGAAAGTTGATTTAGGGGAAATAATAAGAATTGAAGAGGGAGGTTGATTATGAATACAGTGGTCTTGAGTGCTGTTTAGAGGTATGAGGGCGGTTATCACTTCCCGGTTGCCCACACCGTGAAAGACCGTATTTCTAGGATGGGAATAGCTCATATCTAAATACTAATCAGTCAAACTAATATAAAGGAAAAATTATTAGAAAGAATGGTTAGGGATAATATGTTTAGTCAAAGATGGTCATAGTCTGTTGACTTCGGAGCAAAACGGATTTCGTAAAAGGCATTCCTGACTCACTAACTTACTGTTAAAACTGGACAGCAGGGTCTACCTATCAATGTACTGACGAATTTCAACGAGTCATTAGAAAAGTTATCTCACTCAAGAAGTCTTCCAACTCCAGAACGACAGACACAGTAAACTATGGAGTCAGAAATTTTCCTTGCAACCGAAAACAGTGGGTTGATAGTAAATAGGATGCTGGGTTGGAGTGTGTAGAAAGTAAATTGTAGCTAGGTTTTATCCCCGTGTTCCCTATTATTTATACTTCATGTCAATTAATCACCAAGACCTTGTAAATAGTCGGTGCTCTTATTTACAGATGTAAAAGCTTGGAGAATAATAATCTTATGAGCTTGATGTCTAAGTTGATTTACATGAATTAATCAAATAGGCACAAAGTTGGTGTTTGTAAACTGAGTTCAAGAAAAATGGGCTAATAAACATCCATTACTGTAATTCGTCAGCATATCATCAATGGGACAGAAACTCCACAGGTACAAGAACAAAGAGACCTATGAATAATCGTAAAGAATGATTAATAAAACAAATAAGTGAAACTATAATTTATGGACGACCTTTGAGCGACGCTAAAAAGACCTTGAGAATGTCCATTTACATACTACGGCTAAATGAAAGTTATAAAGCAGATTGAGGAATTAGAATTATGATTTACATTTTATAGTTAGGTTTAGGAATTAGATTAACGGTTCTCATCACGAACTGACATCAGATATAATGCCAAAGCTCTATTTAGCCAAGTGAATGAACTAGTTGGGCGCCAAAATACAAAACCTGTTATCGTAAACCTGATTGATTTGTCCATAAATTATAGCTGTACCAACAAATACACAGAATCACCACCTCCTAAACGGTCTTATGAACAACTGATACTCCCCAAAACCTTTAAATGCTTTGACAAAGATAAATTCCGAATTCTACACACTATATATGAAATCCCATCTAAAATACTATGTCCAAGTAGGTAGTTGATGTTATGCTGAGACGCTTGAGCGTGTTCGACGAGAAAGCACGAAATTGGTGGAAAGCTTTTCTGATATTATACGAAAATCGATGTTTAAATCTCCGTGGAACTCAAGGTGAACTCATAGTACCATATCATATGCAGTCCCATACCCTAAATATTACATGAGCTCTGTGTTTTATCGCCCTATCTGCGACTTAACAATTAGTCGAACACAAAGAGGCTCAAAAACTACGGTTATACAGACAGTGAGAAGTCACTTTATTATTTTCCTTCTGTCTAGAACTGATCATTTGAGTACATTCCAAGAAAGTTCAAGGATTGAGATTAAATCGTCTACGTCCGGAGTTATGTTTCGCATACCGAGTAGTGAATTACTGGAATTCTCTACCATGACATATAATATCAGCACCTTCTGTTGTTATATTCAAAAACGAGATTGGACCTCCTTAGAAATACAAACTGAAAGGATTAATATAGATCGATAGATTTATCCTTATTACTGAAGATAGAAGACATCGGTTGGTATACAGACCATTGGCGCCCCAAAGTCAAACGCCTTTCACCAAGGTTGAGGGGGAATTTTGGTGCTATTTTTCTAACATTTTCTATAGCGGCTTTCCCAAAATGAATCAACTTTCCCCCAAATTTGGGAGATTGGGCAACTACTTCGACGGAGAAAACGAACGTGATAAGAATGGTTGGTTCAAGGACTAACATGGGTCAGTTAAATCGTCATCTTTATTAATGAAGGCTGTTCAATAGTTTATCAACTAAAGTAAGCAGTCCTGTCGCCAGGAGTCAACATTCTACTAAGTTGCAACGTTCATTCTTAGGTCGGTTCGCGTCGAACATAAAGGTTCGTTGTGAGCTGAAGGTAGGTGAAAATCAGTAATAAAACATGGATGAGAGTAAGGCGATCTGATAACCAAAACTAGCTTTCAGTGTGAGATTCTTAACCCATTACAAGACTATTTACCTAAACAGAGGGGCAACGCTTCAGGACTATCGTTCACTGACGGAGGTTGCGAGCACTTGAAGGTCAAACAGTCGCAAGATGATTGGTGCGTCAATCGACGATTCGTGAAAATTTTCAGAAGCGGTCAAATGAAGACATTTTTAGATTTGAATTGAATTCAACCACACCATGTCTGATAACGTTCATTCTTCAAGTAACGAAGGCGATGCTATCGTGATGATGCATGATATAGGACGAATCTTCAATGATATTACAGGACGATCTTAGCTCATTGGTGGCATGGTTAGACAGGTGGTCACTAGAAGTAAATCCTAATAAGAGTGTAGTGATGCAGTTAA